CAGTTGTTCTTAAACAGCTACTCCGGCTGAGCTACTAGTATAACTACTAAATACAGATTTATAACCCCATTCGGATTCCCATAACTTCTCTACCTCTTCTGTAGTATGAATTTCTTGAAAATATATAATAGAAACATTCTTATTTCTTACCCAGTTGAATACGTCCCTGCGTTTTTGACAATTTGATGAAAAACCTCTAACATTCATACTTAAATTATTTAAGCTTTCAACCTTTGACATGTTAAGTTAATTCTTTACATTCTAATTCCAATGAAAAAACTGATAAATTTTTAAGGCTTTGAGAAAAGCAGATAAACTGTTGGCACTATTATTATGATAAATTACATATAATTGAAAGTGCACACATAAACTTACACTTACACTCAAACATGGAAAACCACAGAAAGTTATTGACTCTTTACATTTTTTAGGCATACCTCGCCTTTAGGCAAACGTCACCCTTGTCCTTTAAGCTCCTCCTGTTTGTGGACATTTTCGAAGTACATGCTTATATCGCAAGTTTTTTGTCAATATCATCCCTTACATCCATCTTGTGTCTTTTCCAATTTGTATCCAACACAAAGATGTGTCCATTGTAGTACCACGCACTATCTACAATATGTTGTCTCTCCTCGGCCCTCAGTTTTCTCAGCAGCTGCGCATTCATGTTGGTTATCTGATCAAACATTAAAAAAGTCCTCTTTTAATTGTTCTCTCTTTATAATCACCGACCTCCTCACATCACTACTAACAAATTTGACAATCACAGGTTTTGGGTGATTTTTGTCATTTGATGGAATTATGTGAATTGCCAGAATGTCCTTTGGGTCCAAAGTGACCCCTGCTTTTTCAGCCACCCGAGCACATAACTCCTCTTTTAAATTCTGACCCTGTTGTTCTGGCCAATTCAGAATTTTGATATTGTTTTTCTGGGAGTATTGTTGATTCATATTTGCCATGCTAATTGCTGTACTGGCAATTCCATTTGTTTCTTTCAACTGTTTTTCCAATACACTGATCCTTTTTTTCAGCTGTGATACATTCCCCATATTGGTGTCATTGTCCATCATTAAACTATCCACCTTGTCTGAGAGTTGCTGTCTCATCGTGGAAAGTTCTTGACCATGTTGACTCTTATTCTCATCCAAGTCTTGGTGCATCTCTGTTTTTAGTTCCTGCAACATCTCTGCCTTAATTTCCTCTTTGATCTCCTCCTTAACCTCCTCTTTCATTTCCTTCTTTAAATCCTCCTTTACCTCCACAATAACACTTTTGACTAGATCTTTTATGTCATCTTTGGTCACCAGTTTTTTAAGGGTCTCTTGTACGGAGGAAAGAGTAACTTTGATGTTGTCCATTTCTGAATTGTCATCTTGATCTCCTGCAGATGAATTTCTCCTCTGTTTGCTTGCTGGTTTTATAGATACAACTTGGCCTTTAACCTCAGCTGAGACTGATGACAGTGACAATGAAGGTCTTCCTTTGTCCATTGTCTGTTTGGTGTTTGATCTTCCAGCTTTCGTGTCCTTTATTTCCTTTGTTGACATTGTAATGCTCCACAACACTACACAGTTATACAGGTAAACACAAGATGAACACAAGGTGAACCCAAGTAGTAGCACTTAGGTGAATACTAGTCAAACACTACTCAAGACTTCTCTTTCAATTTTTGAAGAAGGTAAAGCAAAATCCAAAACCACTATTTTTTACATGAAACTATCCTCTGATGGAAAAAAAAAACAGTTCAGAAACATCTGTGACAATTTTCACTTCATTAAAAACCACTATGAGTATCTTAATTCCACAAAAACAAGAGAGCCCTGAAAACACCTCCTCACTCAACAAGCATGACCTTGACCTATGGCTCTCATGTTTCAAACGTGTCTTCCTTGTGACATGGCCTTTCTTTAGGTATCATTACATTTGACCTCTTTACCTTGACCTTGGAGTTCGACCAAATTTTGCTAGAATTTACCTAATTTTACCCTTGGACATAACTTTTGAACGGTTGGTGCTAAGGTCTTCATACTTTACATTTATATTTATTTTGACAAGACCATTCTAGGGATTAAATATTTTTGATTTTTTTGGCCTTGACCTTTGAGTTTGACCAGCTTTCCAAAAAATTAACTTTGGGCGTAACTTTTGAAGATTTAGTACTAGGGCCTTCATATTTCACAGATGTATTCCTTGTGTCAAGGCCTTCCTTTGGATACTAACAATTTTGATCTTTTGACCTTGGCCTTGGAGTTTGACCTACTTTCGAAAAATTTTAACCTTGGCCATAACTTTTGAACAGTTGAGGCTAGGGATTTAATTTTTCACATGTATATTTCTTTTGACAAGGCCTTCCCCTGTGTACCTTTAATTTGACACTTTGACCTTGACCTTGGAGTTTGACTTGCATTTGAGAAACTGCAAACTTCGCCAAAAGCTGTCATACAGGGCATCAATTATTATTGATTGCTCTATTGATTATATAGTGAACATGCATTGACTCTTTGAAAATCTTTTCATCTGCTCCTGGATATTAAGCAATCATAGTATATTACATATGATGAGAAAGAGTGTCTCTTCTAAAAAATTGATAATATCATGACCCCTGGATCAGGTTCTGGTTTATGACAGGGCTATGCCTTTATTGATTATATAGTGAACATGCATTAGTTATTTGAAAATCTTTATCTCTACTTCTGGATATTTAGCAGATATTAAGAATTCATGTTTATGAAGAGCAAGTTTGCCTCTTCTATAATTTTGAATTTCATGGCCCTGTGTCAGAGGTTCTGGTGTTAGGACAGAGCTATATAGATGAAAATGTATACATTCTTTAAATGACTTCTCTGTCCCTGTGTATTTAGTGGACAAATTGTATGGATATGTTAAGCAAGGATTTCTTACACTTATATATTTTTTATGAGGTATTTGGCTCTAGTCTTTGGCACCTTTTTTCAGCTCTTCCAAGTCTTTTTTATTTAAATATTTTGGATTTCCAACGTTTCGGCTCGAGCATCACTGAAGAGACATAATTTTTCGAAATGCGCATCTGGTGCATCAGAATTAGTACCGTATAAGATTGACATTATACTGAAACTATGAAATTCGTACCCTCTGGACCAGTGGTTTTGGTGATAGGGCGGGGCTCTTAAACATATATTTTAAAAATGTACAATTTCTTTGAAAATCTTATTTTCTGTCCCTAGGTGCTTTTTCTTTTCATAAATTGTGGATTTCTTTGTGCTAGGGCCACTGGTACTGGAGGGAGATGGGGGAAAGGGGGCTCTATTGATTATAAAGTGAAAAAAACATTTTTTTTCTTTGAAAATGGTATTAATGAGCATGGTTATGGTTATCAAGTGTGCGTCTTCCAAAATTGTGAATTTCGTGGATCCTGGGTGTTAAGGGTTTCTGGTATTAGGGTGGGGATGTGTTGAACCTTTAGTGGAAATGCAATTATTTATTCTTTGCTCCTTGGCAAACAGAGTACAGTGTTGTAATAAAAAGAAAAAAAATTGTTTAAAATCTTGGCTTGGAACTATTTTTTGATGTGGGTTAAAATCTTGTTACACTTGTACTTCAAAATGATTTGCATAATAAGTACTACAGAATTAGAATTATTGACTAATAATCACGAATACTTATTATTAGTCATCTTTTATAAATGAAACATATACACTGTATGCGAGAGTCCACTTTGACACATAGTCTACTTAGACACATAGTTAAAAATGAGAAATATTTTTTTAATAAAATGATTCAGGGCAGAACCCTGTAACATTAGACATGTTAGGTAAATAGAAGTAATCATAGCACGTGATTGCTTAAACAACAAAATGCTTTATTCGTTTGTTTATTGAGAAATTAATGGTTTCAGCCATTGCAGAGAAAATAGAGTTGGTTATGTAATTTCTGCAATGGTTTGAATCAAACATTGAACATTCTACAACAAAAACTGTGGGAGAAGCAGTCTGCCTTTCAATAGGCTTATTATTCATTCCCCTCTCCTTCACTGCTAGCGTTTTCATCCGTTATCATGCATTGTCCATCAGTGATTCAGTCGTAAGCTATTGAACTTTTCATCTTCTTCTCTTGAACTACTGTTACAACTTTTGCATATAACATTAATGGGTGTAAGGGTAGAAAAAAAATGTAAAATTTCATGACCTTAGGGATGGGGCTAAAATCATCAAAACAAGAGCTTTCTTTAAAAATCGTATTCTTTTATTCGTGGACATGAAGAAGTCAAACTGTTGGCAGATTTATAATAAGCATTGAATACTCTGCCAAAATGTGAAATTCATAGCCCTTTGGCAGATGTTCTGGAGTTAGGCTGGGGATCTAATATTCATATGGTGAAAATGCGTAAATTATTTAGTCGTCTTTTTTAGCAGATAAACTAGGTGCTTTTTTATGAATCTTGAAAAAAATTGTTCTGCAAGGTAATAAGCAAAAATACTAAATGCAGGGTTATCATCACATGATGTGAACTTAGGATGCATCATCAAAAATTGTGAATTTTATGATCCATGGGTCAGGGGTTCTTCGTGGTGGGGTGAAAGTGCATTATTTCTGTGATAACCTTCTATGCTCCAGGGTATTTAAAAGATGAACTAAATGCATGGTTATGACCAGGAAGTGTACTTCTTCCTTAAAATTGTCCTGGCCCATTAGTGAGGGGTTCTAGTATTACTTCATATTATACGCCTTTTGTAAGGGCTTTGGGTGTTAGGGCGGGGCTCTGTTGGATACATAGTAAAAATGTATTATTTCTTTGAAAAAGTTCTTTGAGCGTGGGTATATAGCAAACATACTTTGGACACCTAGGACAGGGCTTAATTGATTAAATAGTAAATTGCATAATTTTTAAATCCCCATGTGCCAATATTTTTCCTCAAACCATGAAAATCTGACCCGACGAAGATATGTGATTTTACAGTATATAAATTTAAATATAATGGGGACATTTCTTTCATTATACAGAAAAAAATTACTTTTTTCAGGAGTGTCTTCAGAATGTAACATGGGAGAGATGTCCAAATGTTTTGAGGGGTTTGTAATGCCAAATATGGAGTCATTGTCAATGCAAGATTTACAGACCATGTGCGCGTGAGTAGTTTTGTATTTTGACTTATATTTCTTACCACTCAGACTCAGAAGAGACAATTTAAAAAAACCCTGTGATTTTAATAACTCATTCATTACTTCGGTAACTTGACTGTCATTAAATATTGTCAATTCAACATGGCCGTAGGAACCGGGGGGTACGGGGGGGGGGGGGCTGTCCCTATAATTATGCCGATATATAGAATATTATAAAACTTAGCTACTATGTGCTTGTACCCTCAATAAAACCGTCTGATGACCTTTTTTTTTTCTTTTTTTGGGCTTGTCAAGGAAATTTGGTAGTTGATAGTGCCCCCAAATGAAAATGTTTGCCCCCTCCCCCAACTGAAATTGCTTCCTATAGGCCTGTACAATAAAAGCCAAGAATTACAAAATTATGTCAGGGTTTGACATTAACCTGTAAAAGTACTAGACCAGTCGGGCTACGTTCCATAATTTTTACTAGCCCTGGCCATAAAATCACTAGTCCTTACTTAACCTGAAAATTTACTCTTTATATTTGAGAATTTTAAAAATTAATTACTATTGAAACCATTTTCAGCTCTTTTGAGCAAAGGCTCAAAGAGCGTATGCTATGGCCATTTAAGTGGTGTGCTGTGTGCTTCAACATTTTGGAATATGGGCCATAACTCAAGAACCCCTGGATCAATTTTTGACAAATTTGTCACAGAATATTTTGGTCTAAGTGCTCTCATTTATACTAGAAACAGGGATATGACCTTAAAAAATGGAGATAATTAGGGAAATAAAAACAAAAGTAGTGTTTGCTAAAAACCTTCTCCTCAAGAACCACTGGGCAGATTATCACTAAACTTACATATAAGGATGAGGATATGTTACAAATTTGAAATTGTTCAAGGCATCACCCTGGAGTAAAAGGTATGGTCTTAAGGTCACTTCAAAGTTGACAAAAAATTATGTTTTCTCAAAACTTTGATATTTTGATTACTTATAAGGCCTAGGATAATTAAAACTTTTAAGTTGATGCATCTTAGACCTCGTATCATGACTCAAAAAAGGTTACGGTGACCTACTTTATGAATTTTGCATGTATTAATTTTCAATTTGATTTTTTGCATATTTTGGACATTTTGAAGTCTATGATCATCAAAACTTATCATTTTTTGCATTATGGAGCCTTGAAGTGTGTCAATTAAAAAGTAAGTCACTGTGACCTAATTTCTGAGTTTTATGGTTAATCTTTTTTTAAAAAACATTTAAGGTTATTATTCCAGATACTAAGAGGTTTAGAATCATCAAACCTTGTACATGTAAGTTGATGCATCTTGGGACTTTAAAACATATTAATTAAAAAGTAGGTCATAGTGACCTACTTTTAGAATTTTGCAGACATTCATTTTCAAATTGTTTTAAAATATATTTTGGACACTTTGATCATCAAACCTTGTTTGATGCATCTGAAGGCCTCAAGTAATTTCAATCAAAAAACTTTTGGAATTTTATGGCTATGTTTAAATATTTTTAGATGCTAATTATCGTAAAATCATCAAACTTAGTCAGTTGATGCATCTTGGGTTCTTGAAGTGTTTCACCTGAAAAACAGGTCACTGTTACCTTTTTTGAACTTTTATGACTATATTTAGATACTTATTGGCTTGATGCATCTTGGATCCTCGAAGGGTGTCAACTGAAAAGAAGGTGTCTGTAACCGACTTTGGAATCTTATGACTGTAATTAAATATTTCAGATACTAATTGACTTAAAATCATCAAAGTTTGTCACTTGACTTATCTTGTGTCCTCAGAGTGTGTCAACTAAAAAAGGTCACTTTGACCTACATTTGGAATTTCGTGGTTATATTTAAATATGTCAGATATTTATTTTCATAGAGTCATCGAACTTTGTCAGTTGCTGCATTTTTGATCTTTGGAGTATTTCAGTCAAAAAGTTGATAACCTCTATTTTGAATAATATGGCTATAATTTTATATTTGAGATACTAAATAGCTAAGACGAACTTTATCAGTTGATGCACCTCTAGTCCTCAAAGTGTGTCAACTGAAAAAGTAGGTCACCATGACCTCCATTTGGGGAATTAGCTTAGAATAATCAAATTTTGTCACTTTATGTATCTTTTGGTCCTCAAAGTGTGTCAACTAAAAAGTAGGTCACCTTGACCTACTTTTGGAATTTTATGGCTATATTGAATATTTCAGATACTAATTGGCTTAGAATCAGCAAACTCTGTCACTTTATGCATCCTGGATCCTCGGAGAGTGTCAAATGAAAATTAGGTCACTGTGACCTACTTTTAGAATTTTATGGCTATATTTAAGTCACCTGTGTCACTCAGCTGACCTATTGCTATCCGTTTTTGTCGTTGCGTTGTGCGTTAAGATTGAACATTTTCAGCTTCTTCTCTGAATCCGCTCAACCAATTTCAACCAATCATGGTATATAGCATCTATTTGTGAAGGGGAACAAAAATTGTGAACTTCACGGTCCCTACACCATGGGGTCTGAGGGGTGGGGCTAAAACCACCAAAATTAATGAAATCTTAAAAAATCTTCTTCTTTACTCCTGGACATCAAGCAGTCAAACTGTTGACATGATTGTAATAAGTATTAGTTCTCTACCAAAATTGTGAAATTCATAACCCCAGGTCAGGGGTTCTGGTGCTAGGTTGGGGCTATATAGTTCAAATAATGGAAGTGCATTATTTATTTGAAAATCTTCTCCTCTGCACTAACTTAGTATATAGGTATGATGAGCAAGAGTGCTTCTCCCCAAATTTTGAATTTCATGGCCCAATGGTCAGGGATTCTGGTGTAAGGACGGAACTCTATTGACTATAAAGTAAAAATACATTAATTCTTTGAAAATTTTCTCTTCTAGTGAGTTTTAAATAAACTATCCAAGTACATAGTTATGAAGAGCAAGTGTGCTTCTTCAGAAATTATGGATTTCATAGCCCCAGGGTCAGGGGTTCTGGTGTTAGGGCAAATGGGCTCTATTGATTTTATATATAGTGAAAATGCATTAATTCTTTGAAAATCTTCTTCTCTGCTCCTGAGTATTAAATAAACTAATTTAGTACATAGTTATGTTGAACAAGGCTGTCTCTTAAAAAATTGTGAATTTCATGGCCCCTTGATCAGGGCGTCTTGTGTAAGGGCGGGGCTCTATTGATTATATAGTAAATGCATTAATTCTTTGAAAATCTTCTTCTCTGTTCCTGGGTAATGAATAAACTAACAATGTACATGAGCATGGCTGCCTCCTCAGAAATTCTGAATTATATTGCCCCAGAGTCAGGGGTTCTGGTGTTAGGGCAAATGGGCTCTATTGATTATATATAGTGAAAATGCATTAATTCTTTGAAAATCTTTTTCTCTGCTCCTGAGTATTATTTGAGTATTATTTAAACAAAATCCATGGTTATGATAAGTAAGGATGCCTCCTCCAAAATTGTGAAATTCATGGCCCCAGGATTGGGGGTTCTCGTGAACCGGGGCTCTTTTGATTATATAGTAAAAATGCGTAATTTCTTTCGAAATATTTTTTCTACTCCTGATTATAAAACAAAGAAAGGTATTAAACAAACTAACTTAGTATATAGTTATGATGAGCAAGGATAGGATGCTTCTTCCAGAATGGTGAGTCTCATGGCCCTTGGGTCAGATGCTCTGGTTTAAGGGTGGGGCGTTATTAATAATATCGTGAAAATGCATTAATTGTATTTAATAATCCTGTCTGCTACTGGGTATTTAGCAGACAAACAAAGTGCATGCTTATGACGAGCAAAGGGGGGGGGGGTCATATATATTGGATAGATGTAATGATGAGGATACCTTGTAAATTTCATGACCCTGGGTCATGGGTTCTGATGTTAGGATAGGAATGTGTTAATTCTTTTAGTGAAAATGCATTATTTCTTTGAAAATCCTCTGTGCTCCTAGGCATATTGGAGGCAAGCAGAGTAGTTTTAATAAGCAAAGGTATTTTTGCCAGAATTTTGAACATCTGCACCATTTGGTTAAGTATTCTGGTCTTTGTCAGGACTCTGTTAATTTGTATTCTATTGAGAAAAGTTATTCCCCTTTGCCATTCACTTTTGATAATTAATCACTGTAAATAATATAATTGAAAGGTTTATAGAAAAGAGAATTATGCAAGAATTTTTATTGTATAATACAAAAAGTACTTTCGTAGTTTTGATGATCAGGTAGACCTGGAAATGAATAAAAATGAGACAAAAATAACTTATCTTTTTAAATGTTCTTCAAAGGCCAAGAAAGGCCAATGTGAGAGGTAATATGGGGTTAAAGGTAGATATTTTGTCAATAGTCTGCGTGGTAATAGTGCTAAATGGGGGACTGATAAATACTACACCAATTATTTTGTTGATTCTTATCATACTATTTTTCTTGCTTTTGGGCAACAAAGCTTTATTTAGCAGTTAATGGATCCTCTAAACTGTTGTATTATACTCAGGTGACTGTTAAGGCCCATGGGCCTCTTGTTAAATATTTCAGATACTCATTGACTTCGAATCATCGAACTGTGTCACTTGATATATCTTGGGACCTCGGAGTGTGTCAACTAAAAAGTAGGTCACTGTGACCTACTTTTTGAACTTTGTGGCTGTAATTAAATATTTTCAGATACTAATTATCATAGAATCAGCAAATTTTGTCAGTTGATGCATCTTGGGTCCTCAAAGTGTGTCAGTTGAAAAGTAGGTCAACACAACCTACTTTTAGAATTTTATGGCTATATCTAAATATTTCAGATTTCAGGCATCCCAGGTTTAAGTTTTCAAGGTAGATTTCTTTCCAAGAAATTCCAAATCACGCATTGATCAGCCTTGCCGACCGACTGAGAATTAGACCAGCTTGTCAGTGAAAAATTTTCCATTAAATTATCTGCAGAGCATTATATTTGGGAATAAAGTGGAGAATCAGCCCCTTCCCCTCCTTTTCCCCCAATGCCTTTCGAAGATTGCAGATACTACATTTTTGGCCAAAACATTTGAGAAGAATGGCCAGGTTCATATTGTAGAGTATATTTATGTTTTTTGAGAAGGTTTAAGCTAAAATAGGATTATGTCTATTTCTTAAGTGAGCATAAGCTCTATGTTACTAAACATAACTGGATGGATGATGCATCTCGTATTAAACTTGTTAGGATGCTTGATCTGTCCAACTTTTCTGCATAAGTGGCCAAGGTTAAATATTTCAAAAGAAGGTCAATCTCCAAGGTCAAAGTAATAAGGAAAAAAAAGTTGGTTCCCCAAGAAGAAATGTACAATATGAATTCCCCAGCACCAAATTTTTAGAAGATTTAGTGGAGGTTAAATTCATAAGTAGGACAAAATCCATGGACAAGGTCATAGGATCAAAAATGATGATATCAAGAGAAAGAGCTTATCATAAGGAATGTACTCATGAAATATGAATGCTCTGACCTTATTAGTAAAATGTTCTTGTCAAAGTTAATGTTTGTTGCTGACAAACAAACAAACCAAAAAATCTGTTTTTCCTAGATCTTCATTTAAGAGGTATAAAAATGGTACGAATGAAAAATCATAACCCTATCAATTAACATCCTAAATTTTGTTTCAAATTTTATTTCGTTTTTTTTGGTCATGTTTGTCAATATTGAAAGCATAATTTCAGCAAGTTAAACATTATGATATCGGCCATGTTTGTTGCAATGCTTTTGTAAAATACGTATAGCATGTCTTCATGAAAAAAAAAACCCACAGAGAAACAATAATGCATTCGTCCACATTGCCAGAAAATAGTTTCTTACCAGTTTAATGACAGATATTAAAATGCCATAAATATTATATTTTACAGATCGGTTAGAGGTGTGAAAAGCTGTATTGAGCCATACAAAAGTGCTTGTGCAGCAGATTCAACCTTTCAGTCGATGATGAGCGGTATGACTCTGGCTGCTGGGTATTGCGGTAACTACTAATTAGTCATTTATTTGACCTTCGAGTGAAATACAAGCAAATTCAAAGAATAGTCACTAACACAAGTTACCCTTGTCGTCATGTTGATTGGGATGCAATAATTAATGGAACATTTTTACTGTCTTGTCTGCGTGCCCTGATTTGTCTGTTCATTTAAAAAAAAGATGTAAATTTTTGAATTAATAAAAGTTAAGACCAAGATGATTTTTTTGGAAGATTGCATCAGATTTTAAGTCAGTTAATATATGTAATATAAAAATTAATATATAAATTTATATTAATATATAAATATGTTAAAATATATTAATCCCTCTGAAAGATCTTGTTATTAGTAATATACTTGTAAAAAATTGTAAAAGCCCTGTCTGTACTAGTCGAAAAATTTCGACCAAAGTTAAAGTTTGATTTAAGAAATTCAAAACATTTATTTCTGAAGAAAACAAGCCAATTCAGAGAATGTGTGTCCCCCGCTTAGGGGTAAAAAGAAGAGCATGCGCAGTTCGGGGGAGGGGGTCACACTCCCCCCCCCCCCTGGTTTTGTAGAATTATTAAATGTATACATGTATATTGAAGCAAATAAAAAAATGCCAACATGGATATAAAGATTTGATTGATTATTCTTTAATATGTGTATAGAAGATTCTTTTTAATTTATAGAATATATATCACATTATAATAATGATTTTATGAGTTTGTACACGCCAGACGTATAACTTTCTCATTTCACATGTTGGATAGTATGATATAGTAAATAAAAAAAAAAAAATAAATAAATAAATAAAAAAACCCCGGATCGTCCGGGATTTGAACCAGGGCCTCTCGCTTGCTAAGCAAGCATCATAACCCCTAGATCACGGAGACACTTGATTATAGAGCAAATTAAATCCAAACAGTAGGTCACATGTAATGTTTATACTCACGTTCGATATTGTCAAAATTTTACACAATGGTGTTTAATTTAGCCTTTACTAAACAGTTCTAATAGATGTAATTAGAATATAAAGTCCGCCGACAACCTGTATTATACGTAATAACTCTCCCATACCCCTGTGCTAAAAATAGTTCCAAGCGACTTTTAATATACAATAAATAAAAAAAAACGGGGCTTGACACTTTGAGAGGGGCAAGAGATGCCATAGGGAGGTATGGTATTAAATTTCATTGCAAAAGGTCAAAAGCTTTTTGAGATATCGCCCGGAAGCGAAAGTTTAACACACAGACGAAATTGGTGAATTGACGACCTTGAACTTTGACCTTTTGACCTCAAAATCAATAGAGGTCTTCCATAGGCCACAGGAAGTTGTTATGTAAAACTTCATTGCAAAAGCTTAAAGAATTCGCGAGATATCGGGGGAAACGAAAGTGTTAAAACAGAGAGAATTTATAATTTATGACCTTGACCTTTGACCTTTTGACCTTTTAACCTAAAAATTAGTAGGGTTCTTCTTTAGGCCATAGGCAGTTGCTATACAAAATTTCATTGCGAAAGCTCAAAGGGTTCTTGAGATATCGCGCGGAAACGAAAGTGTTACAGACAGACAGAAATACAGACGGACGGACGGACGGACAGACAGACAGACCCAAATTAATATCCCCCACTTTCAGTGAAAGCGGGGAACAAAAAATTGTCTCAAGTAATGCAGACATAATTTAATATGAACGCCTTATATTTTCTAATTCAAAAGTTATTGCCAATGTTGATTTTTTTCAAAGTAGGTAAGACTTGAATATCAAGGTCATGAGGTTGAAATTGTACTATATTTAAGAAAAAGTCTTGTCACATGCAGGTAATACTCATTTGAAATATAAAGGCCCTATCTTCTTTCATTCAACAAATATGATTATTGTAAATTTTTTTAAAAAAGTAAATCAAACTTAATATCAAGGGGTCAAATATCTTAGTGCATTTGGAAAGGTCTTATCACAGGTAATGTGCATGTAAAATATGAAAGCCATGTTTTTTTCTTTAAAAGTTATGACAATGGTTAAATAATTTTGTGAGAGACAGACAGATGAATGAGATTTAGTGTCCCCTTTCTTTCACAAAAGTGGGGAAAACAAAAATTTGCACATTGAAAGGGGAAAGAAATTTAATTTTTGTTTAAATTTCAGCAGATTTTCATCTTAAAAATAATTTACTTTTACCATCGCTGTAACATGCATTGATCGGCTTTAAGTCGATCCTAATCATAGTAGCTTTTTGTGCAAAGTTTTCTGAAATGAAATTTAAAAAATCAACTTCTGAAAAATAGTTGCATTCTTAGTTTCAATCTAGAGCTAATATTCACATCTTAGCACCATGAAATAAGGAAATCTCAAACAGAGATGAGTAACAAGTAAATTTCAATGCTTGATTTTGATTTTTGTAGGAGATTCTGGCTGCAATTTATTGAAATGCTTCTCTGATGCTGGGATTAATTTGGACAATACTGGGGGTAGCTCAAAAAAAATAAGTTGGTAAACTCCTGTTTATTATATACTTTGTATTTATTCAGGTAAAGTTTACAAATTATGTAATCCCTAACAAAAAAGTACTATAGTTAACTATAGTAAATCAAAGTTTTCACTATAGTAAATCAAAGTATTTTTACTATGAAATTCAGATCGAAATATTTTTTTTTTTAATTCCTACAAGTAATTTTATGAAGTTAATAAGAAATATTTGTTGTATATTTACGTTTTTTTTAATTACATAATCGGTATGTAATTTAAGAAATGTCAAGGCTCTAAATCTTCAAAAAGTTCTACAGTAAAGCTCCATTGTAAACCAAAATAAAAAAGTATTTACCATAGTTAACTATAGTAAACTATAGTTAACTATAGTAAGTTTTTGTTAGGGATGTAAAGTTTTCTTTTTTTTTTTTTTTTTTTTTTTTTTTTTTGCATTTGATGATTGTTACCATTTGTCTTATTAACTCACCTTAGCCGAAGGCTCAAGAGAGCTTTTCTGATTCAAGTTTCTCCTTTGTTGTTGTAATTTTTTTTTTACGTTTTCATATTCTTCTCCACATCCATTAGACCAGTTTTGAACAAACTTGCTGCAGAGCATCCTTGGGTAAAGGGGATTTAAGTTTGTTCAAATCAAGGACCACACCCTCTTTTAAGGGGGATAATTAAGAATTAGTGAAAATTAAAAGACATCTCTCAAAAATGTTCTTCTCATAAGCTAATTGTCCAGAAAAAGTTGAAACGTATGTAAAAGCTTCATTACATATCGTAGATTGAAGTTTGTTCAAATCATTACTCCCTGGATTATGGTGGGACATCAAAAGAAGATAAAAAAAAATAACAGGAACATAAAGGAAATATCTTTAAAAATCTTCTCAAGAACAACAAAGCCATGATTTTTAATATTAATACAGAAGTATACTCATGTAATGTAGATTCAAGTTTGTTCAAGTCATGGCCCCTGGGGGTAGGATGAGGCCACAACAAGGGATCAAAGTTGTTCATAAGAATTAATGTATATTGGATTTATCTAAAAAATAAATTAACTTCTTAAGAACAGCAAAGCCATTATGAGTCATATTATTGATATAGAAACATCCCTAAAGAATGTTGATTCAGATTTGTCTAATCATGACCCCTTCAGTTAGGACTGAGCCACATTAGGCAACTAAGGTTCATCGATACTCTGATAAGAGATATAACTCTTAATGCCATAAATTTCTATTATTCCTTTATAAATTTGCCAATTTGAAATGTCTCTTTTGTCTTATTTTGCCCCTCGCCGCAAGCTATGCTATAATTATTTTTATTGTATTTGTACAACACATTTCTTTTGGAAAATCATTAGAGTTAAAGCAGCGTTTTATATGAGTGAGCAGAGGGCTTATGAACCTTAAAGTTTTATTTATATTGAAGTGCATAGGAAAAAAAATCTTTGGGAATCATCTATTCAAGAACAGCAAAGCTCTGATAAGTCATTTTAATATGAAAGCAAGTTTGTTCAAACCTTCATTTAGGATTAGGGTGAAACCACTTAATACATATTTAAACTGAATGTTTTCATATTGAAATTCATTTCAGTGGGGGTTATATGCCATTGAAAAACTGTGTAGAAAGCCAGAAAAAGGCCTGTCAGCAGAACCCAGCTTACGCAGATGTTCAGGATTCTCTCAAGCAAGCGGAAAAAGCGTGTGGCTCTCCAGGTAAAATTTAAATAATGAATTAGGAAATTCCTCTTTAAGCTGCATGTTGTGTTAAGGCAGGTATTAGATTAATTTATTTATGTTGCAGTTTTGTTCTTTTCCTTTTAGCTCACCTGAGCTGAAAGCCCAAGTGAGCTTTTGTGATCACCTGTTGTCCTGCGTCTGTCTATCCGTCCATCTGTAAACTTTACACATTTATAACTTCTCAAGAACAACACGGCCAATTTTAACAAAAGTAGGTACAAAGCATCCTTGAGCAAAAGGGAGTTTAAATTCTTAAAATAAATGAGCAAGCCCATTTATAATTATAATATATAATATAATTAAGAAAAGACAATAATAGGGTTGGTTCATTAAAAAATCTTCTCAAGAGCCACTGGGCCAGAAAAGCTGTAAGTTACGCGGAAGCTTTCAGAGGTAGTCTAAATTCTAAATTTTTCAAATCATGATCCCCGGAGGTAGGGCGGGGCCACAATAGAGAATCAAGGTTTTACATTGAAATATATAGGAAAAATCTTTAAAAATATTTTTTTCAAGAACCGCTGGGCCAGAAAAAAAGTGAAACTTGTGTGAGAGCATCCTAGGGGTATTGTAGATTCTAAATTTTTTTCAAATATTGGCCCCTGGTTGTAGGGTTGGGCCATGACATGGAAATCAGTTTTACATTGAAATATATAGGAAAAATCTTTAAAATCTTCTCAGGAGCAGCTAGGTTAGAAAAGATGCGAAAAATTCGTAAGGCAGTTTAGATTATAAATTGACCAAACCATGTCCCCTGGGAGTATGGTGGGGCCAGAATAGGGAATCAAAATATCACACATTTTCTCTTGTAGGTGGCGGAATCTCAGCTACCCCGGCCTTGTGGATGGTTTTCTCAGCTGCCATGATGGTGTTAGCAGCCATGTTTCCATAAACCAACAAATTACCTACCACTTTTTTAGTGGACATCAGTCATTCCAGATGTGAATTATTGGAAAAAACTGAAAGGAAACAAGATCAAAATTATTATCTAGAGTTATGCGCCTTCATTGCTAAGTGATTTTTTTTCAGGGGTACTTGTGTGATTTTATTTTACTTGGAAGATTGAAGTATGTATAAGAATTTGTTCAAGTTAATTGGATACGATGTCTGTAATTAATAAATTTCGTTTAAAAAGTTTATAGAAATAAATGGATTTACAGTTCATTAAAAGATTTTGGTTTGAAGCAAAAGTGATTCATTGATGACGAGGGTATTTTTTTTGTAATATCGATGTAATTTTAAATAAAATAAAGTGATGTATATTTCAAGGATTGAAGTCATACATGAAAAATTGGTCCATTTTAAAGACGCAAGAATTCTTTGGAAAACGTGTATAACTGTTGTATGTATAATTTAAAGCGTCTCCGTACTTTTATAGTTATGTAGATTTCAATCAAAAGGTCTCTAAGTGTAAGATAGTTTGAATTGCCAAGGTACAACAGAAAGAAAATATCTGTCAAAAAGATTTTTTTATTGTCTTGAAAAATTATTTTAGAACGGTGAAAATTCCTTGATAGAAATTGTTTCTGATTGTGTAGTCTCTTGATTTGCTGTTCAGAATGAAGTATTTATAAACTATACTCAGTTTATTATTAATAATTTTCCAATCTTCATAAATCGAACATAACAATGACCTTCAGGTTTGCGAGATAAAAACTTAAGTGCACCTTTATGAACAGCTGTATACCATGATATTAAAAATAGTACATATTTAATAAATTTTAAATAGAATAGCCTTCACTAAATGCTTAAATTTCATTCAGGTAAATATTGTACAATTATGGACTCGTACGGAGGTGAATATGGCTTGTTATTCACCAAAAATATAGCAATATTGACCGAGGCGAAGCCGTGGTAAATATTGATATGTTTCTGGTGAATAACAAACCATATTTACCACCGAACAGCCCATAATTGTTTTATTATATAGTCAGGATTTGAATGAATAAGACATTGAAGGCTGCATGACGATTCCATTGTCATTAACGAACTTCTGTCGTAGAAAAATAGAAGATGTCCAAATTACAACTTATAACTTTATTTTGTTGTGTGTAAGATATCGAAATGTTTGATAAATAATCCTTTGATAGACTTGTGTAACAATTTTCCTGCTCAAATCTACACCTGGCTCCAGCCGTTGCAACCATTGTTTTCAACGTTGTTTGGGGTATTGATTGTGACGTCACAATGCCGCAGCACGCGCACTGACATTACGGTGAATACGGCTTCAAATCCAGTGAATATGTAGAATTATGAACTGTTTGCGTTGGTATAGATTATATAGGGACTATTTATAGACTATATAATAATGTGCTTTACTACCATTCATCTACATATGTACTCATCATTGTATTTAGCAGTGTATGCTGTGGTTTTTTAAGCTATATGTATGCATGCGTCATGTACTTAGTGTATATTGGTTTATATTAACTGTATGTGCTTTTATTGTCCCCCGCTTTCACTGAAAGTGGGGGATATTAATTTTGGGTCTGTCTGTCCGTTTGTCCGTCCGTCTGTATTTCTGTCTGTAACACTCGTTTCCGCGCTATATTTCGAGAACCCTTTGAGCTTTCGCAATGAAATTTTGCAAAGCAACTTCCTATGGCCTAAAGAAGAGCCCTATAGATTTCGAGGTGAAAAGGTCAAAGATCAAGGTCATAAATTCATAAATTCTATCTGTTTGAACACTTTCGTTCCCGCGCGATATCTCGAGAATCCTTTGAGCTTTTGCAATGAAATTTTACATAACAACTCCCTGTGACCTAAGGAAGAATCCTATTGATTTTAAGGTCAAAGTTCAAAGTCCTAAATTCATACATTCTGTCTGTGTGTAACACTTTCGTTTCCAGGCGATATCTCAAGAAGCTTTTGAGCTTTTGCAATAAAATTTTATTAATTTTATAATATAGCTCCCTATGGCCTCTCTTGCCCCTCTCAAAGTGTCCCGCCCCTTTTTTCTTATTTATCGTAATAAAAGTCGCTTGGCACAAGTTTTAGCACAGGGGCATGGGAGAGTTATTACGTATTATACAGGTTGTCGGTGGACTTTATATTCTAATTACATCTATTAGAACTGTTTATTAAAGGCTAAGTTAGACACCATGTATTGTGTAAAATTTTGACAATATCGAACTTGCATATAAACATTATATGTGACATAATGTTTGCATTTAATTTGCTGTTTAAACAAGTGCCTCCGTGGTCTAGGGGTTTGATTCTTGCTTAGCAATTGAGAGGTGCCAAGTCCAAACATATGATTAATATTCTATACAAAAAGAAACTTCTATACACATATTAAAGAATAAGCAATCAAATCTTTATATCCATATTGGCATTTTTTATTTGCTTCAATATACATGTACATGTATACATTTAATTATTCTACAAATCCAGGGGAGGGAATCCCCCCCCCCGAACTGTGCATGCCCTTTTTTCCCTAAGCGGGGGACACAAATTCTCTGAATTAGCTTGTCTTATATTAAGATTGAAAAACTTTTTGTCTTCCATTTAGGAAATAAAATTACGAATATTATAAGGTAGCGGATATCCTTTTATGGAAGTCTAGTAGAAATGGATAAACGCATTAAAACAAGAACTGCTAGTGTTTGTTAACTTTATGAACAGATCTAGTGTTATGGATAAGAAAAAGTGAAAGAGATATATTTGAATTGCATTAATGTTCGAAGTAAAATAATATGCAAACTTTTATATTTTAATTATTTTTTTTAATTATTCATAGTATAAAAACGTTGTGAAAGCTTAGTAGTACTTAGTATAGTATTTTATCTTTGTTTGTCATTGTTATCCTTTCATCATTTGGTGTATTTCTTTTTTTTAGAATAAAACGTGATGTTGTAAAATAAACAAGATGTGTTTGTGAAACACTGATGCCCCCGTATGGTAGCCTATGGCGAAGGTTAAAGTTTCTTAAATGCAAGTTAAACTCCAAGGTCAAGAGATCAAAAATGTTGTTTTCCAAGGAAAGGACTTGTACCAATGAAGAAAATGGGTCAAACTTTGAAGTCAATGTCAAAAATAGTTATACCCAAGTAAAGGCTTTGTCACAATGAAAACACATCTGAACTATGAAAGCCCTAGCACCAACTGTACAAAAGATATGGCCAGAGTTAATATTTACAGGAAATACAAGTGTGAAATAATAAAACCATAGATCCAACTAATCAAAAGTTATGGGCAAAATTAAAGTTTTTGCCTACAAACAGATTAACAGACAAACAGACGGACGAAGGGGGCAAAAAAATTTATACCCCCTAATCTTCGATTACCGGGGCAAAATTAAATTGTAGTAAAGTTTGAATATATATATGGTTGATAGACAATGAATTTTAGTTTACAAAAAGATTTTTTTTCGGCATCCTGCCAAAATACGCAATTCCTAAAAAAGTAAAGAATGGTCAATTATTAAATAATTGAAAGTAGAACAAAACATTTCATCTTTATAGGACACATACTGAATACAGAAAAGAATTGTTCTATAAGAACAACAAGTTTCTAATAAGAAACTTTAAGGAATATTACATTTTGCGTTATTACGTTTTGTGTTGATGTCAACGCAAAATCTAATAACGCAAAATGTAATAAGATAATTTTTGGATTATTATATTTTTTTGTTATTATATTTTGCGTCGATATTAAGCAAAACTCAACAATATAAATGTAAAAACACACTTTTTGGTCAGTTAGGTTGAGCATAATTTTAAGACCAATGATTAACCGCCACGGTAGCTGAGTCGGTGGAGCGCTCGTTCAATGATCGGAAGGTCGTGTGTTCGAATCACGGCCGTGACTGACCTAAGTCAATAAAAAATAGATAGCAACTGTTCCTTCGCCAAGTGCTCGGCACTTTGAAGTGAAAGTTGCGGGTTCTTCGGATGAGACTCTAAAAACCGAGGTCCCGTGTCACGGTAGGCGATGGCCGAGTTTAGGTCTAAATTTGAAGCCCTTCACCGATATATAGTGACATCTCTATATAAGCGAAAAATTCTCGAATGAGACGTTAAACAACAAACAATCAAACAATTAATCGCACCAATGATTATATATAATTGCTTTATTATAAGCCGTTTCCTAATTTATGAAATAATGCAAGTTCCATTTCAAGGGATCAAATACAATGTGCCGATTTCCTGGTTTTCAGAGATGACATTTTTTATTTCGTTGAAATGCAAAAGGACATGCCCATATCTTGTGTTTACGTATAATTGAGCAACTAGAATTTGATTCGCCAATTATATCATTGATTAGGTTCCACCGATTTTAAATCATCTTTGCGTTCAGTTCCACTAGTATTCAGTGGATATGCAATTTTATGATAGGAGCGTGCAATGCAAAAATTTACTAGGAAGCAAAAACTCAGAATTCTATGACACAAAGCTTTATTTATGCATAAACAAAGGAAAAATTATATAAAGGACCTCAAAGGCATTTCATACTCCTAACCGACACATCCACTTCGGCACAATACCTTTTTCATATTTTATGATATTAAAGATATGTTTAAATTAATTTTATGATGTTTTGCGTTGAACACAATACAAAAGAAAATATTTGTGTTGTTACATTTTTATTTTATTACATTTTGCGTTGCCCTCAACACAAAAATAAAATAACGCAAAATGTAATAAGCAAGAAGTACATTTTGTAGTTGTAAATATGTCATTTATTAATGACACAAAGGTAAGACATGAAAATCGGGAGATCCTGTGTTTTTCTACAATTTGTATATACACCTGGATTTGGATCTCCCAAAACTTAAAGGTACAGCATGATAGTGGTGAAAAAAAGGTGGCAACCAACAACAGGCCAACCAAAACCCAAATTTTCTCAAACACTTATGTTGAAAAATAAGGTGGTAACAAACAATAGGCCAACAAACAAATTGATAATAACATTATGTAAATTTACTACCAATGGGACGGTTGAACGCGGTGGTAGTGGGTATGTTTTTCTTTAAAAATTACAGCGTGCACAAACACTTGCAGCTTAAGCGTCTAACATTGATACTGATCACTTGATCCCACTGGAACTATTAACTAAACACCCCAAGATCCCTAAAACCTGAGACAATTCATTACATAACCTGCAAGTAGTTTACAAAGCCTAAGTTAACACATTACCTAATTTACAGATAGCTAAATTCTAAACACAAAAATGCAAAGATACATATGAATGCATAAAACATATTATTTCCAAT